TTACATATAAAGACCAGTCAAAACAAGATTTCTGGAGTGCTGCCAACCTACAGGTGCCAGACATCAAAGATGTGGATACCCACGATTTGTGTCAAAATGTGAGAGAAATTAACATACGATTTGAGAATCGGAGATAACGTCCACCTTTTGTATATAAAGTTAAGGGAAAAAGGGAGCATTTTTCACTTTTACTCACACTTAATGCTTAGTTTTGGGCTAACTTCCAGGCAAATGTCAAAGCAATAGGTGGTGGAGTTGAATGGCTATCGCTAGCACCCATGCTTGTGGTTTTGTTCACGCGCACAGATGTGCTGCTGCACATGGGTTCGATGCTATTCTAAGAAGCTCAAACACATCCATATGCCTAGCCATATTTAGCCCTGCCACATGGGTCTATTGTTTATCAAGCCTGAGAAGGGTTTGGAAAACAAAATAACACTTTTTTCACAGAGTGGCTCTGTTCTCGTCTAATGTCATTGCCACATCTCAATGGACGATGGGAGAAAGCAGCACTGGTCACACCTTAGGTATCGACTTTGTTTGGCATATCACAATATTTCTTTTCTTGAGGTTGAAGATGGCTCTCCTCCATCTACCCCGATTCAATTCACTGAAGAGAACAACCTCCAAACTTGAAAGATGCTATTCAGTAGCTTCCATAAATTAAAGTCCTCACCCCTGTCCCCGGTGTTATTCATCCTAACGCCTTCACTTTTACCCTTTTCATTTGATGAAAGTCTAAAATACAGTGCATGGGAAGCGATTGGAAGGAAAAACGCAGTGAGAGACAACCCAAATTACAAGGTACGGCAGCTGTTTCTTCAAAGTGGTGGACGGTTGTAGGTAAAGGCGGAGAGGGAGGAAATTGGCGTTCACATTATTTTAGCTGTGATTGTCGTTGAGCGAAATACACGCGCATACTGACTGACAGAGATTATTCAAAGAGACGGATGGAGAGTAAAGTGAAGTCAATTTCGAAATTGCAAGACTTGATGGGATTGGCAAAAGGTGAGAAAAGGAGCATTTTTATTGCTTTTGCATAAAATGTCGGAAACATTGCTATGCTAAGCAATAATGGGACATTGAATCAGTCCCTTAATTATTTCTGAAACCCAAAAGTTGTCAGTATCTCTGAGATTCGCCTCACTTGATAAAGAACAGCAAGCATTGGTAGGAGCAGAGTTTAGGCTGCCAGACAAGTCAAAGCGCCTAACCTTCAGTAATACATGCTCGGTTTCAAAATGATTCTCCCCGGTGTCGCACCATAGGAGTGCCTAACCATCGCTGATGTGACATCATCACTATCGACATCTGCATCGTGCCGCGGAAAAAGGGCATGAAAGATAATTTAGGTGAGCCGTGAGGCGCTTTTTCCTGTCCACATCACTTTGGTTTCGTTGTGTCTTCCCATTTCATCTCTAACGCTGTGAACTAAATCGAACCGTGTCTCGGATCGTGGCCTGCATATACTGAGGTGAGAAATTCTTGAAGATGAAATTTACTAAGTGCATAAAAATGCTTTTATTGATAAGTGAACTTAAAATGTAGACAATCATAGACCATTGCAGTCGTGATACGGAGTTGGTTTGGTAATTATGATAGGTAAAACTAAACTGCATTGAGAGATTACCTTAGCATGAGATTCCCAAATTTCATATTTACAGCGTATTGTATGTCAGTAGGCCCAAGTTAGTTGTGCGCACTTACCAAATATCCAGATCATGCGAGAGGAAATGAGACTGAATTTGTAATAAATACTGATTGGTATTTTAGAGTACCAACTTGAAATCTGTTCTTATCAGACTCGGTGTGGATCTGTTTGTTATCCTTTAGGTCCCACAAACTGATTTATTCACATGAGCCAAGTCATCCACTATGGTCGATTTGCAAAGAATGCAGCTTCAGGCGATGGCTTATGAGCTGATGTTTAATTGTCAAATGAGAAGTGGTTTTATGACCAGACAAATATCGTTTAGCGTTGGTGACTGATCCCATAAGTAAATTGAACGCCACTCTTATGTAGGCGGCTCTCATTCGACCATGTTATGTTGAGACGTGAGAAGACGTACTTCTTTGAAATGGACGTTCTAAATATTAGCCATGATTCGCTTACATAAGCACTGAAGTGAAACATGGCAAGGCCTCTTTGCTTTTCTGCTGAATTTTCTTTGTTCCAGCATTTGCTGGTTAGCATATTTCCTATTTGCAAAATGAAAAGTGGTACACGGGGTAGACATTTCCAGCCAAATCAAACAAAGTGTGACTGTTAAGTCCAACTAAGCGAGTGTTTTTGTGCGTTTAGACTTTCCGACTCGATACTTCACTAATAAAAAAATATTGAATCTCTTTATCAGTCTTTTACAACTTACTTGATATCTGATGACACCGATCATTATGCCACCCTCTTCAAGGCTGCAACGGTGACCACATGCAAGGCTCTCATGTTCAAGCGACGAAAAGTGAAAGCCCCAAGTGTTTTCAAGTGAGCAATGTCAAAAAACATGGAGGAATGGTAAAGCAGTGTAAGGTAAGCAAAGGTATCTCTGCAAAATGCAAGAAGAGGAGTTTGGACTTGGAAACAGATCCAAAAACAAAATGCTGCCTGTAAGTGGGAGTGCAATGCCTATGCTCTCCTTTAACTAATTCTTCATAAATCGAACACTAGGACAAAGTGATAGCAACTATGAGTGTCCCAAGTTCACTTAACACATTTGTCATCTCCTTCTCCAACCCGTGTGGAGAGGGCGTAGAACCAGTTTACAAGCGTGAACATAAATGGAAAGATATGATCGCTACAGGGTCTTCTTTATCACCACTACACTTAATTGCTCAATCTTTGAACTGCCTCACTACCTTCAGGTGACATTTCACATTGTAGTTACTCTTGCGTCACATTTATGCTACTGCTTGCACTTTCACAGTTTACCTTCCATTTTGCTTGAATAATTATTCACAATCGTTGAAGAAAAGGGTGGGAGGAAGCGAAACAGCATGCAGCTAAAGAGATGTTGAAGAAGGCTACATTGAAGACAGATGTGAGGCTCGCCACGGTTACAGTGTTGATAAAGGTGACTGATCCGATGTTCAAGTTTATTTGGGAGAAGGAGTTTAAGATCTAGGACTGGCGAAGGTAAAGCAGTGAATAGGAAGGCGCTTGTAATAGTTTAACCTTTCCGTACTTGTTAAAAACGGATAAAAAGTAGGACTGTATGATGTGGAAATTTTCTGTTGCCAGCTGTGGTGCGGCTATTGACGACAATGATGCTTTCATCATCTCCATAGATCAAAGACAAGTCAGTACAAACATCTCTTAAAATAGACCATCAGACTATTTTAACAAGCACATCTTCAGGCAGAAATTTTTACTTGCTAAAGCCTGCATAGCAACCTGATTACGGTACCGGTCAGCGTAAATGCAAGAGGTGCACGGACCCTCTTTCCACATCCATCCAATGATGCTCCAGCACCTTCCTTTAACAGATGCAATTGCGCACTTTGACAAAGCACAAATCATACCAGAATATGGAGGAGTATTGGGGATGCCACAGAAAAGAAATGTGACTCCTACAAAATATATCTGTTAAAGGGCAGGTAAAGAACCAGACCAGACCTTTTAACGTCACATCACACAGAGACCTATCAAGGTGGGTGCAATTACTCATGTGCCGATGTGTGAACGCATACGAGTAGCCATCTCTACTGATAACATGTGCGACGACATTTACTAAGTCTAGGCGTTGCAGTAAACTCATCTACCTAACCTCACTGCAGCCACAGAAACAGGTGTGGTCAAATGTTGTTGTCGAGGGATTATGACACTTCTGTTCCCTTTGTAAAATTCCACTCTTTCCACCTCTCCTGTCCCACCACGCCTCCACCTCCTACTTTCTACACGCTCAAATGACCATTCTTTGCCCCATTCAAGGTGCAGCTTTGGAAGGAGAGGAGGAGTTTATTTAATACTCTATCTTGATTGCTCTGGCACACTTCACAAAACAGTCGGCCAAGCGGCTGCAATTCTGGGGCACTGTACATTGCTACTACGCGGACACAACTGCAACCGCCCCAGGTAAGGAAGGCGAATCCGGCAGCTGAATGGGAAAATTTCCTTACCTCTCCTCTTCTCCTTGCTACACTATACCACACTTCACTGCACTGCCAACACAACACCACACCATCGGTTTCACGTAAAAATCATGCAGGTTAATCCTTTTAAGCAGTCGATTTTGGATTGCATTTGACCTTTGTAAGCTGAGCATTGGTGGATGAGAATTAGGAAAACGACGAAGTTTAAGACAGTACTGTTTCTTACTTACAAAGTAGAAGTAAAAATTTTGAAAAGTAAGTTCAAGCGAATACTGGTATGGTGCGCCGTTAAAATCTAACTACTTTCTATGCCATTTCCAAGTCAACGGTGGCGTTGCTTACCACTTTTGACAACCTGGGGCCATTCACTTTCTCCCTCACGTTTCGATTGACATTTTGTGTCAATAAAATCCAGTTATATTCACCCCTTTTCCATGTTCACATGAGATGTGTCATCTTTTAGGAACTTCGAGGGTATCATAAGCAGCCAGATGGATATTGGTTAATTTCATTTTAATTCATCTATTTTTATTTTTTGAACCGAAAAAATACAATCTAAAACATTAGCAATTTTTCTGGAACCATGAAACAAGGGTTGCCTTCAGAGTCAAACAAACGGAAAACCATCACAGTGTGTGAAAATTAACGATGTTGGACACCATGCTCTTGCTTAATATTTGACTTTCAAAAACCGAACGTTTGTCCAGCGAATTAAAACAAAAACTTGGTAATTATCTGCCATGTGACATGACAGTGCCTATATTAAATGTCCTTATCAGTTTAATAACTGGTAGCAATATTTCAATAATTAAAAATGGGAAGAACAAAAGTTTTCTTGCTAAAAAACTCACATTTGTTATTGTAGTTTGGATAAATACTGTTCTGATTAACAGGTCGAGCAGTATTTCCGTAGCATGAATCGTCGTGGGGTATGTGGAAGTAATAAAATGTGCAATTTTATACTCGTTTCTAGTTTCTGAAAACGCTGTAAACTCGATTGCTTCACTAATTTGGCTTTATATTTCCAATTTTTTTAATAATTTTAGTCCATCTGCCAGAATGCATTGAAAGAAGCCATCGAATCCAACAATGCCGCCACCCTTGAATTGCTATTTCAGCAGAAAGTTAGTCTATTCACCGTGCTTCCTTCTCAACTCTTTTACACTTTTAGCATTAAAACGCAGATTTGAAGAAATTAAATCGTCAATATTTTTGGCATACTGGAAGATAGACAAATGCTTTAATTCATCTAGGTGGGATTTTCTGGTGTTTACAATGCACACCGACTATCCTTTGTCTACTCATCTCTCCGTACAAATAAGTGGGAGGTGGTATGCATCTCGGAGCCAGCTAGTTTCGGGGTTAAACTGTCTCTGTCGAATCCCCCACTGTAAGGTTAAAATCGAAAATTATGAACAATGAGGAAGTGTACAACCGCCTCATTTGTCTTGTTTGTACGCTCTGTCCCTCTTTTTTGTGCAATAGATTGATCCGAACGTTACTCTGTGCGATGATGGTGAGCTTCCCCTTATCAAGGCCGCCATGTGTGGTTCCGATAGGGCAATGCACGTCATCCTCAACCATGGTGCATCAGTTACTGCCACTGATACATGGGGTAACACGGCCCTCCATTGGGCGGCAGTTGCAGGCAACATGAATTGTGTGTACCTACTTCTGCAGCACGGAATCTTCAAGGATACCTTCAACCGCCTAAGAAAAACGCCCCTAATGCAGGCCGTTTCCTACGAACACATTGATGTTGTGAGATATCTCATCGTGCAAGGTGCTTCCACGACGCCCGAGCTGAATGATTATGACGAGTCAGCCCTCACTCTCGCATCTTATGCGGTATGTGGTTAGCGTGTGGTTTGACTACCCAACTTTGTCTACCCTTGACACGTGAGTGACACTCAATCGCCTTCTTGCATCACCACTCCATGACAGTGCACTCGGTGCCGACGTACCTTGCAAGCTGTTAACCACATCGCTTCTGTTTAGGGCAATGTTGCAATAGTGGAGCTCATTTTAACTGTGAAGGTTCCGAAGAAGTTTCGAAAGAGACAGCTGTACGCTTCCCTTACACAGGCCGTATTGGGCGAGCATATGGCGGTGGCACAAATCTTGTTGACTCGTGGGGCGCCTGTCAATTTGCCCAGCACCTCGATTGAAAACCCACTTTTTGCAGCCATTCGTCGTGGCAATGCATCAATCATTCGCCTTCTTCTTTCCCAAGGAGCAAATGTTAAGTACGTGGATCAGCATGGCTACACACCACTCATGGAGGCTACGAGAAGACGAAATGTGGATGCCATCAGAGCTCTCCTAACAGCAGGTGCATAGCATTTCCGCCTCGATTTGACCTCAATGCGCATCTATTCTGGCCAGGACACAACCGTTTGACGCATGCTGTATACTATGCACCACGAAATTCTTGAATATTTCATCTATTGTCACTTGGCAGATCTCATCATTTTAGCAATGTTTTCTTTTAGGCGCAGACATAAATGCGGTGAATATGCTAACTCGCGAGACTGCCTTTTTTCTGGCCGAAGAACGGGGTTACGCTGAAATCTCTGAGATTCTACTCGAAGCTGTCGCTAAAAGAGCCACATAATCGCCGCTTTTTCCTGCTATTTGCCCTCCTTAATAGTCATGTACTTTAGGAAGCTGTAGTAATTGCAGTTAATAATACATTCCATCAATCGAATACACGCTAATTTAGGAAGTGATGATATTATCTGATTTGTTTGGTGGCAATTATTAACTTATGCATGCGACTAGTGGCTAATACGGAAAAAGCTGCTGTAAATTATACTTCATACACATTACGTCACTTCCGGAGAGCAAACTATGAGCTATTTCATCTCTTGTTGGTTTGACCTAAGCAAATGAAGACTATTCTAACCGCACTAAAATGTCCTCACTTAAGAAGCTGTGTCTAGAGTGCCCTGACTTACACGAATTGCAAGAGAGCAGAAGAATGTCTGCTCGACAGGTAGCTATCAAGTCTCACAGACAGACTCCATTCACAACATGCAAATGCTAGAAGAAGCTCCTGTATATGATGCTAATGTCCACATCTTGGTAAGTAAGTGAACCCAGCAAGAAACCACTTTGTCGTATTTAGCACCTCTGTAAAAGGCAGGTTTTTTGTTAGTGAAAGCTAGACACTCTGCGCAAACAATTCATTGCTGTCTAACAAAAGGACTTGACGCAATTTATGCCATTAGCAGGTTGCTGCCTTTTTCTCCTAGGATGCAGGATGTTATTGTCAAAGGTAGACATCTCTTGGAAAACAACCACACGTTTAGAGTCCTTGCTGGTCCAGCACACGATTTCTCCTATTGCGCTATTTGGCCTTAATTTTACTGAGTGATTTTAAATGACCCTTCTGTTTAAAAGGCTTCCGAACCACCTCTGGTCTTCTCCGGATCGCATCGGTCAGATTTAAAGCCAACGTTCCTACTTAGCTCATATTGAATCACTTATGTTGTTGAAGAAAAGGATTATTGGCACAAAATATATTACTTGGATCGAATGGAGTGGGACAATGTAGTGTAAACTATTAGCATATTTGTAAGACGGAAGTGTGTGCAGGTACCTAAATAGGACTGCAAACTGAAGGCAGACACACTTCCATGAAGGAATTTCGACCTCTTGCACACTCCATCCGACGAGTCGAAATAGGTCAACGGGTGGCACACAACTGGATGCATACATGTGTGAATCGTTCACATCTGAATACTATCCAGTTGCACGATTTTGTCCTTGCACAGTTCCCTGTGCAAAATAGTGACTTGCCAATGGTGGTATGCCAACGTTTCGAAGTTGGCGTATCAGCACTCTGTCTTCACAAATGAAATGTCTTTAGTGTTGCAAGTGAATCAGACACCGAAGAGCCAAATGAATGGACGCAGTCATCTACAATGCACGGATACATGGTTGGATAGATAAGAAAATGTAAGAAAACTGTAGTGATTACCGAGTCATTACTCCACAATGATCACGTCTTGTCCTGAGAAGCAGATTGAGTAGGGTGGAGCAATTTTCGCGAAAATTGGTATAGCCAATTGATACAGTCGAGCTGGTGGCATCCAGTTCGAATTGGGTCATCAAATTCAACTCTCTGTTGATCCCATCTGGTGGTTGATCAAGAGGCAACCCAAACAGCACTCACTCAACCACCGCTATATTGCCAATTCTCCCCACGTAGAACAGTAAAGCATTCATTTCTTCACTCACACATTTACCCATACGCTCACAAATACTAGTCGTATATCAGAGGCTGTGTCTGCCGTCAGTCAACACACAGTGAAGGCGCCAATGTAGGACGCCAGTCATTAATTTGTGCGCCATCTCATAAGCACTCTTAGATGTGTTGAGCAAACTGCTGCACTGCTGGCCAAGGATCGGCCAGAATTGATAATGGGAAACACGCCCATTAAGGTAGCGCAATCATAGAAAGAACTCAATTTCTTTTAATGCATTTAAATTTTTCTAAACTCCTCGTTGCAACATCAGAGTTATCCCGAGAGCACATCTCTACCTTACCTGCCTTCATGCGCTTCATGGCACCATGTGGAATACCTTCACTCCAGATAATCCCAAGCAGTGGCAGCTGGATGTACACCGGTACCGTGTGCTGCATTACCTATGGAAGCTCACGCACTAAAATAGAGACTGAAATGGCGCCTGGTTTATGACTGACTACTTCGAAACGAATGCATTGAGCCCCGATTCACTCCCGGAGATGAAGGCGTTAGACCAATTTCCGGCGATTAATAATGAACCTTTATAACCTTTTGGGCACAAGGAATCTCAAAAGGTGACTAACTTGCACCCAATCTCTAAATCTGCCGCCAAATGAGCCCACTTTTGCAAACTGATTGCGCGGAGCCTTTAAATGGACTGATGGCTTATAGCGTAGGGTTTAGTAAAGAACAGGACAATGCATTGTAGTGATATTTGCCCTGGTATACATACAATCATGTGTGGTTCCGTGGTCGATGAGGGTTGTAGCTAACTCAAATCTACCCAGCTCAGGTCATCTCACCTAACCAAATATCTGACCTCAATAAACCTTTTGGTCCGTCCATACAAATATCATATCCATGGAATGATTTCATTGTCACTGTTGCTGTGGAGGTATCAATTCGTGACGACTGAAGTCACCATCAGTGGGTTCATTAATGTCTTTGGAAGATCAGAGGCATGCGAGCAGTCTCCTAGACTATTGACTACAAGGTGAAGTGTTCACTGTAAACACCTTCCATAGACTCCAGTGTGGCATTACTTGCAATCTCATGGCAATGCCTCTCTCACCTACATCGTTGGCTAATCTGCAGACGGGCAGACACGCAGACACACACACACACAGTGACAAACGCAAGGGAATTCCAGAGAAATCTCCTCAAACTCAACCCATGTGATTAAGTGTGCTACTAAATGATTGGGTGAGTGAAGGATGGGACGAGAGTGCACATGATTAATCAAAGAGTAGCTCACTCACAGGTGTATAGAAGGGTCTGGACCCATTTCTCATGAGCTACTCTAGCAGCCTTCAAGAGCTGTCTGTCACCACCATTGTCAAACTCCTCTATATTTGATGAGCTGTATCGCATCACCTAACCCTCCAACTAAGGATTGTGTATCATTTACGCCATTGATAGGCAAGGTAAAGAAGGCGCGTCTGCAGAATGTCTGCTTTCTTCTCTCCAAACACGGGAAAAAGGCCGCGAGAAATGCAAATGCTCAAGCAGTCAAGAGAAGCTGGCCACCTAAACTCGGTGCACGCACGAAGTAAATGTCCTCACCGACCTAACTGAGAATGCTAAGCTGTTACCCGACCACTGATAACCCACCATACAGAAGGTCAAATTCACTCAGGGTGTGGTAAATCGCGCTCACCTGAGCTCAGTCCTGCTCGAAATCGCTAGGCGTTAAGCGATATAAATGCTTAAGAGCAAAGCGGTGCATCTCTCACCCTCAAATTACATATATTTGGACTGAGCTGTTTATTTATTTTCTCCTATGTCCAAAATGATTGATGGAGTCACCAATACAGGGGCAATCAAACACCGGGCATAAATCCTCATACTTTTGACAGGTCACTCATATTGTAGGCTGACTGTACATAGCTAGTTGAGCTTATCAGAAAAACATTAAAATTATAAAGGCCAAAAGGAAAATTTTTGGCTTTCTGTGGTGTAAAAGGGCTAAGCTGTCCATTTGGGAGAATGGGGTTAGAAAAGGCTGCAACATGAGTCTGAATGTCTTTCCTATATATTCTTCTTGAATGGGATGCAAAATCTTGAAGTTTACAATTCTCAGCCCTCTTGATACTAGAATCACCTCCCTTTTACTTACTTTGTATTTATTCTGCTCTGCAAATCATCTATAAATAAGCAGAAAGATATGATAATGATGGTAATGAGGAGAAGGAGAAGTAGGAGTAGACGGAATAGGCTGTGATTCTACCCCCCTAACTTCCCGCCCTAACTTGCTTATCCTCTTTTAGTAAATGTGGACATCTATGCGATGTCTGTGTTGTCCCAAAAGAGAAGGCTCCTTCTGATTTTTGCAAAAAGAACTTTCTCCCAAGAATGTAAATTCACTCGTCTCAGGTGGATAGATCTAACCCCAGTTATTCAGACAAAAAGCAAGCTCTACATCTTGGGAGGTTAAATAACTCCTCGTCTTGGAGGTGTGGATTTGTGCAGCACTAAGTGTACTTCTTAGTGATGATCAATGACTCATGCGTTTGGCAGTCTTTTAAGCCCCGCGGGCGTAAAGCATATCTCTTCAGCTACCACAACTTCCCTATCGATAATGATACAGTTTCACTACTCGCCTTATTGTTCATTGCTGAATGATCTGACTGTATAAATAAAGAGCGGAAAGCCGTCGTGGTAGAAGTAGCATGGATCTTGTTGCAGTGAGTAAGTAAGTCGAAGAGATATGCATGGCCGCTTATATGTTGCTTCGGGGGTTACTTGGAGGTGGGTCATTTTTCACTCCGCTATACAAAACAATTCAATGGGGTAAGCAGATTCTTGCGTTTTGAATAAAACACACAGATACGACAAATCACTTAGTCTGACTTTCAAAGCAACAATTTGAGAGTATGGACATTCTTTCTGTAAAGGATATATGCCTTCCATAAAGTATTGAGTAAATGTGCATACTTGCGTGCATTGAAACAGGCATGGTCCCTCACAGCGGCATTCCTCAGGCAACATTTTTACGACGATCATTTTGCAATTCTCTTCTGACACGATCGCTAGTCACCAAAACAAGCTGAACATCTGATGTGGGCGCAGTTATATCACTCCATTTTCGTGAACCTCCTTATTTATTCTTTCCGTGGCTTATTCCCGATTGCCACTGAATGTCGAGCTACATTCACTCCGTCCTGATTGGTCAGTGCAGAATGGATCATTGAATCCACAGGAAGGGACGAATTCGAGTTCTCTAGTAAAGGATTACCTTACCACCTTTGAAGCCTCAGACCAATCTTTGCGACCCACCGGCGCAAGTGCGATTGTACAAGGGATTAAGCGATAAAAGTGAGGTATCATATTATTTAGCTTTAAACCTTGATCTTGCAATTCCAAGGGCGTTCATTTGCTATAATTATGGTAGCAACTAAGCACCTAAAGTGAGTAGTGCGTTACTTAATCTTTCACTCATTTGTATGTTAATTTATCTTCTTTCAGTCAGAATTCTCTTCTGTTAATCTCTGCGTGTTTGTGGTTCAATGGTACTGCTGTCACGTACAGTTTTGAAATGGAGCGGATTCCAACATAACAAATAGTGTGTAACATTTCGTTTGCTTGTTTAGGGACGCCTAAGTTGAGCAACAATCACAGCATTCAAATGCAGTCGGGTGGAGGTAGCAATTGAAAAGGAGCCTGTCATTTACACCATTACTTCATCCTCTTTGTCTACTTGTCAATAATGAGCAATGTCTTTTTTAATAATATTTACTGCAGCCTCTCGTCCTTCTTATCCGTTGGTAAAAGTAATTTTGATCTCGTCTCTTAAATGTGCCGAAACATCTGACATTATCATTTAAAAGGAGATTTTACTGGCAGATTTGGGAGCACCTTCCCACCATCTCGACAAACAAATACAAGGCTCAAATATTATTAACGCCTTGAGCTCGGGCATCAGAAATCACCCCCTTCTGGAAGGATTGTCACTATCTGCACGTGAAATGTCACCATTAAGCTCAGTCATGAGTCTTGTAAAAACTGATTGTCAAAATTCCCAGTGATGTGGTTCCCATGGAGCTGATGTTCTGTTGACGCCTTCCCTATCAAGTTGCCGTCTTTGGGTCCACTCATTTCCACATCAAATATCATCATACTATGGGTACTACATTGTTTACAATAATGGTTTGGCATTAGAAACACGAATTAGCCATCTGCCGAAAACATTAGCAGAAAGACAGAAACTGGACAAGGCCGTAGTCATTCGCCATTAATTCTAGTCGACTTTAGACACAGAAGAGACCTCATGGCCATGAGGAATTATTGTGGTCAATGTACAAGATATTTAGAGCTCCTCTCTACCAGGCACGAAGGCGCAACTCCTGTTTTAGGCGTCCATTGTTCCACATGTAAACTAAAGTTGCTACAATAGCTGAGTTGAAGAACTCTTTTCTTTGCCGCTTTACTATAAGAACGCACAATTATTTGAACAATGCCAGTTTAATCACTTTCGGATTACTTTTCACCTAGTGATCTAATTTGGCAGGAGAGAAGTTGTGTACAACTAAGGAAGAAATTTGGCATATGACGTTTAATTATCCGAAAGGTGTTCACTATTCACTGACGCGGAGATGTCGACAAATCAATGCAGATGGGTTGGCGTCCTCTCCGTGTTCTTCTCTTTATTTTCACACAATATGAAATTTTCTTTTGGATGATCAAGAAGGACTCTTCCATCAATTTTCAGTTTTTGTAACCAGTATGACTGGGTGTAGAACGGTAATGCATGACACAAGATGGGTGAAATTTAAGGACGTTAATAAAAAAACAGGATCTTTGACACATAGAGTGCATTGGAGTGGAATAGAGTGGCACTAAAATTCCTCTACATAGTTTCAGAAAATCACTCGTTAATTCAGCACCAAAACTAGCAGAAAGTAGGAGTTTTTTTAACTTTTGGCTCAAATATCAATGTTTTTTGGATTTGAACTTTACCAGTGACTGGTGATTTAATTAACTACTTTCTCTCAGTAATCAGAATGTACGTTAATAGTGCAAAAGTGATATCAAAGAGACAAAATAACGAAAAATAAGGCATTTATGCATATAAAAACTGCTAATCACATAAGTGGGTTCGACAAAAAGGGGCCACTTACGTTGGACGGGATTCAGCAAATTGTGTTTTTAATCATTTGACTTTTAAAATAGGCTGATTCTTAGATCCACAAGGGCACATCAAAAAGTGTGAAAAGTTTTTGGTTCTGCCAACTTATAGCTGTGGTGAGATACCATGGAAGGGTAATAGGTGTGGCACAACCCTGCGGTGGCACCCGTCTCTATGCTGGGGACACCAGGGAGGAATTGAGAATGCGGCCTTGTTAAGCAGGACAATCGAACGGGAAATAAGGCTGATTAAAAGAAGATAAAGTAACACACATATAATAGTGGATAATTGAGTAATGCCCAACTTATATTAAATACGTAGATAAGCAAAATGACTTTTACTGCCACATATTCAGAAATGTAAGTGGCGTTGAACTATTGGGATGACGACTATGCTGCATGTACGATGAGAAGTCCGATTGAAGAATGCGTGATATGATAAGCACTCTGTCACACTGTCCACTCTGTCCACACTGTCCACTCTGTCCACTGCAGGAGCCAACATAAAATGCCATTTTTGAGAAATGAAATTTGTTCGCCTGCTGACTGCAGACAATATCAGCACACTGAGCAGCTCATGCCCAAATGCCATTTTGCAGCTGTCACAGTTACAGCTCAAACAATGCCACATGGGTGTGATATTTTTTGCAATTTATGTAATTAGTAAAATTGTGTGTGTTATTTCTAAACTAATAAAGACACAGTGAGGACAAGTAAATATATCTTGTTTCAAATTACTGAGTAGGATTATACAGGAGTGGGCTACCGACTTAGTGTTTTGTGTCAAACATCGTTGCCATTCGTTCACTTTGATGATTATCCTGCTCTTTTAGCGTGGGGTTAGATACCTTTCTCCTAAATTCCATTTGCTCATACTCTTTATCTTCAAGCTGATCCTTCATTAGCAATAACCAAATAGTGGCATTTAATTTACCCCCGTGGTCGCAGACGATTTCCATCTCCCATAAAAAGCCACTCTCATTTTGCGCGCTAAGCACCCATCCACAAACCACTAGTAAAATTTGCATTTCTTCGAAAATGACAATCTTGAATATCCTTGCCCATGTGAATAATTCAGTTTATGAGGCCTAAAGAAACACAAATTATCTCCACTAGAAGTCAGAATCGAGCGCATCTCAAACCCTCACCACAAAATACCGGTCAGGATTACGCAAGGACTCCTACTCGTTTTTACCGCATTTCCTCTACTCTCGTCGAAATTTAACAGCTTATACAATATGCCGAAAAGTTGTCTGCCTTTTAGATTTCCTGTAAAATGTGGTATCTCTAAGTAGTTCAATTTTTCCAGTCAAACTTCCTATTCCAACTCTGTAAAACTACTGCTGCGATCTACATTTACCTATCTGTTAAGCAGATTTAACAAGAACCTACATCTTATGGGAGGCATTTGCAACCGAAATTCTGTTTACAAAATAAAACGGAATTCTTCTGCACTGTTAACAGAGGTAAGAGCTGATGCGGAAATAGAAATTCCTGTCTCTACCTATATTCACATTCAAATGGCACTGTAACGCTCATTTTATGGATATCTTTTGAAGATTTTACACAATACAATAGACCAGAAAGATTTGTTAGTAGGCCGTTAGAAAGTTGTAGACTCACACATTATCTAAGGTTAAAGTTTCGTGGGAGGTGTTATTTGAGGCCCAGATCCTAGAATGTTAGGAAAAGAGATAAATTAGGCAGAGGAACGAATGAGAGAGGGATGGACAATCAGAAGCAGTAGCAACAAATAAAGGAATTTATGACACTTGTTGGGGAAATTAGAGGCTGATGAGCTTTGCAGGAGTTTATTCCAAAAAAAGAGGTCAAGAATGAAGTGTAGACTCTGCAAATTCGGTGTCGCTTGAAAACATTGAAACTCGTTATGTAAGATGTTGGTGCGGTGATGTTTTCTGCACTTCAATACTTCCTTCGACATAGACATGACTCTAATATTCAAACAATTTCCCTACCTCAAATAGGCCATTTTAAATAGAAGTCTAAGATTCATGCTTAAAATGCAATCTCCTTCGTATATATCCCTACATTAAACCTAGTCTCCACTTGTAAAGTTCATTTTTTAAAAATATAAAATAATTTACACATAATTTGGCAATTTAATTATTTTTCACAAAGCTCTTTGGGTAGTGTGTCTATCATTCCAATTAAGTGGTTTAATGAAACTTTTTCTTGGATCAGTAGTTATGCTAGCTCTCCCAATACATGTATACTTGCTCTTTGTTTCTTCTCTTGTCAGCCTTGTCTATATCAAGTCGTTTCTTCACTGCAGGAATAGTAAATAAGCTGTAGTCTGCCTGAACAGTTTCTTGGAAAAGGCAATGAATTCTAATGAATTCTTAGTCTAAATGAAGTGACTACCTTGCAGCTGCACGAAGGACATCCAAAGCAGCCAAGTTGTCAGATGTTAACCGCCGCCAGGCATCATGAATCTGGTGGCTGCATGCCTAAATCCTGCAACTACAACCGGTGGGCCGTCAAGGAACAGGAGTGCGATATGTGGTATTATCAATCAAGTGACACCTCAACCGATCGTTCAGTCCCTTACAGCAATAATATCACTTAATCGCTGCCATCAAAACTTTCATTCTTGTCGCCTTCTTTCAAAGTTGGAACTTGGCTTATACGTCCTTCGTAGAAAAAGCGTCTCAGTGTTTCTTGATTGGGTGCTTCACCACCCACACAAGGAACTTGCAAAACATTTTTCCCTTCTGGGGCATCTTGACTCCACAACTCCCTTCTTCCTTCCTTTCTCCCTCTCACTTACTCTTCTAATCATATTCGTGTATTCTGCAGTGCTCTGACTGGCTGTCGGCGGTTATTAACCAAGTACTTATTTGCCAATCAGAGAAAAGTCAGCCCAGTCGTTGAGTATGGATTTGGGCCCTAATGCTTTTGAAACAGATTTTATAGCTGAGTATAGTGAGTATTCGTTTACGTATTTTTAGTCATCAGAGTTCTCACGTTTGAGCACACCTTATGTGTGCAACATAGGTCTATCCTTCCGGTAAACATTTGGGCGTAAAAATTGCAAATGATGGTAGTGAATAAGACCGCGCAGGGTAATGCACTAACCAGAATAGTTGACCTGTTGGCAAAATGACTAGCGGCAATTTTCCCATCCTTCTAAGATTTGCATATCACAGAAGACCTCGGTCTTCGTCCATACCGCAACACTCATGGCATCTAGGTTACGGCCGCCTTTTTCATCCCAATTATTAGGCTTGTGCCTCACTGCCATTCTGTTTTAAGTTAATAAGGCAGTATTGCAATGAATAAGTAAGGATTTATTCTGTTAGCGGTATGTAAATTCATGTGCACTGGTTGAAGCGCTCCAAATTATGAAGAGCAAATGTTGAGGAAAATGAGACTACAAATTTTTCCTAATAATAGCCCCTAGTAAAATACTGCCGATTTCTACGTAACCCCGTTCTTCAGCCAGAGAAAAAGCAGTCTCGCCGGTTGCTTCATTCACTGCGTATATGTCCGCTCCTAGAGGAAAGGGCAGCTAAAATATATAAGTCTATCATACGACAAATGGTGGGATATTTTGGAATATGTAGTGGCTGCTATCTAGCCTGCACCAAGTTGTTATGTCTCAGTCAATGGACAATGAATAAAAAGGTCAAATTTTGTAGGAATTACTATTCACCTGCATCTAGGAGGGCAGTGACCGCATTCACATTTCGTCCTCTTGTAGCCGCCATGAGTGGTGTGTAGCCATCGAGACTAATGGCCTCAATATTTGCCCCTTGGGATAGGAGGAGGCTGATGATTGACTCATTGCCACCACGAATGGCTAAATGAAGGGGATTTTCAATCAATGTGTCCTGGAGATCGACAGGCGCTTTAAGATCCAGTAGGAGTTCTACCACATCCATATGTCTGCCCAACGCAGCCTGTCCAAGGGAAGAGTACAATTCCCTGCTCCGATACTCCACCGGGACCTCCACCGCTAAAATGATCTCCACGATGCCAATGTCACCCTAAGCAAAAGTGAGGTATGCAACACATCACTGGGGAAGTCAACTCTATGTGCCTATATATAGGAGGGTTGGCATTAAATTGTGACACAAAATGGCGTTTGGGTGTCAGGATAAACAGAACGCAGCAACCGAAATCTTGCAATAGCTACGAACCGCATAACATGCGAACGTGAGTGCCGATTCATTCCATTGATTCAATTGAGGCAACGTGCTGGCTCCTTGCTGTAGCAGATATCCCACGATGTCAATGTGCTCGTAGGAAGCAGCAAACATCAGAGGAGTGACTTCTATGTCATTTGTGATATTTATGGGGATTCCATGTGACAGGAGGAGTGTCACACAATTCATATTGCCTACAATTGCCGCCCAGTGGAGTGCCGTGTTACCATGTCTGTCGATAGCGTTAATTGACGCACCGTGACTGAGGAGGACGTGCATTGCTTGATCGGAGCCACACATGGCAGCCAGTAAAAGAGGTGGCTCACTATCTTCATGATCAGGTACGTTCGGATCAACCTATTATGTAGAAATTATTAGACACAGAGCGTAAATAGAAGTTGTCATTAACAGGCCTTTCCTGTGGTCAAAATATTCCCCAGTCTTACTTCACAATGACAGATTTTAGAAAGATGGGTCGAGCCAGGATCAGAAAAGCAGATTTGAACCATAGCAGCTTCGGCTCTACTATTTTGAGTTAAGCTGACAAAATTCCAAAAAATCTCAAAGTCCATAGCAAGCTATATTCAAAAGTGTTACACTTTTCTACTTTCGTGTATATCTAAGTGCTGACGTCTGCAAATTTTTTCAAAACCTGAATTTTTATGACTGGCAAATGACTTTGGAAAAAGGCAGGAAGAACAAACTGACACCCTGCTGAAGTAAAAATTCGACAACTGCAGATTTGTCAGCGGCGATGGCTTCCCTTAATGCTCTCGTGTTGTAGGGCTGAAATTATTTAACAAGTAGAAGGCATGAAATTACACCGAGGGCATCATGTATGCAACATCCTAAGCGAAATCATGTTTTACAGCTCCCACATACCCCGGGGCGACTCATGGTACCGAAATTCGGTTTGTGATTTTTAATCAGACCTACATTTACCCGACCTGTAATAAGGGGTGTACACTTTCCAAACAAAATAATTTTTTAAATTTTTCTTGATTACTCAGAAGTTTTTTGGTGGTTCACTTTGAAAAGTCACTAAAGGTCTTGTAAGTTTTATGGAGAAGTATTATTAGTTTCTTGATTAAATGTGCTAAATATGCTCCTGTTTGTTTAAGTAGCAGACTTAATATTCAGTAATTTTGTTAAACGTTGATCCTTTTTGTTTTCCTCCAGAGTTATTGAGGTATTTGTTATTACAAAAGCAAACCTTCTTTCTGATCTTTAATTTGCCATCATTTTTATGGTATTCCTAATCTTTTATGTTAGACTAGTACATAAATATATTTGCTTGTTTAAAAAATGATGCAGATTAACGTGACAAGCATAAACTGCAAATCTGGCTGATTATGATAATTGCTAATTACACCCTGGTAGAGACATTTCACCTTTAAGTAATTCACATTCACTGTCTTATTTTAATAT